AAAAAAAAAAAAAAAAAAAAAGCAAAACAACAAAACAGTAATACTCAATATAAACCAATAACATTTTTCTTGTATATTATATCCTGTGTAATTGCAGAAGTCAAATACAACTTGAATATTACAATTAAAGATTTTTCTTCTCTTAAAATGTATTCAAAAAATTTTTGACAGCATCTCTCTCTCTCTCTATATATATATGTATGTATAAATATAGGTATGTGTATGTTTATATATATGTAGAATTATAGATATTTTTATTAAATCTTTCCCTGAACAGAAGATTTAATGGGGAAGGCAATAATACGTGAAACCTGAACATTTTAATGTCACAAAATTCCGTGCCATTGGAATTCTATAACATTTTACATTATCTTCCTGGGCAATTCTTTCCACATTCCAGGCTTCAAAGATCTGCATGCTGAGAAATCTCTATCTCTCCTCCAGGCCTCTTGTCTAAACTTCAGACCCATCTGTTCAATTTCTTCCTGGGCAGTCTATCCCAAATTCAGCATGTAAAAAATTCAAATGTGTCTCATCACAACTTGTTTTTTGTCTTCATTCGTTCAATAATTATTATTTGAATACCAACTATAGGCCAAGCCTACGGTAAATGCTGAGAATACAGAGACACACACTCCTGGCTTTTAGAAGTTCAAGGTTTAACATAGAAGACTGAGAAATAAATGAGTACAACACAAGCACAAGGATGGATCCAGGATGGGGCATCTATGTAACCAGGTATGTACATCTATGGGAAGAGAGGATAAACTAGTGATGAGGAAACTCATAAACAATACCAGGTTTGAGTTCTCAAAGAATTAGCAAGACATCCCTTGCTCCTAGGCAACTTCTCCTTCTGCCTCAGATCCATTAGACCTGAGCCACAACTCGTGGCTCCAGTAACTTTCCAGGTGAGCACCTGCCCTGGAAACTGCCTCGATGTTCCTTGCCCACCAACAGTGACATTCTGCAGATTATTCACTTTGCCGTAGGCCTCTGTTGGCTCTATATTACAGTGGTTTTCTGGAGGCCACCTGGTATCCCGGTAGAAACATCCAGATTTGGAAGGATAGCCTCCTCTTTTGCTCAGACTTTCATGGTCTTTGGGAAATCATTGAACCAACCTCTCTGAAGCTCACCTCCCGATCTGTGAAAGGCTGGTAATTATAATACCAGTGCTTATCCCAGGGGGAGAGTAAATATCAAATGAGAGCAGGCATATGAAAGAAAAGTCAAGCACAGCACGCACACTGATTATTATCTCGGTGAGGTTTGGAGCTGGCGGGGTATGATTCCAGCGCAAATCTTATACATGCTGATCTTGTGAGGGGGATGTGAGGCCTTCGGAACTTTCTCAAAAACATAAACACGAATTTCAATTGAATTTAGTATTAATGTTTTTCCTAGCATCTCTCTGCTCCTAATCCAGCCTGGATTCCATTCCAGCCATTTATTAGCCTTGAACTAGTTATTTACCTTCTTTGGTGTCCTCTTGGGTATCACGGAGATAATTAAACGTACTTCAAAAGGATATTGCGAGGAACATTTCGAAGAAAGGCACAGAAAATACCACGCAGTGATGCTTTCGCCTGCAAGGTCTTAAGCAAGGAGAGCTGCCCCCATGCGGGCGCCTAGAGGCCTGGAACTGAGCAATGAAAAAGGGGCGCCCGCGCGGGTCTCGCGCACCGGCTCTGGGGCCGGGGAGGCAGCAGCGCGGGAGGAGCGCGCCCTGGGCCCGGTAGGGGGCGCCGAAGCGCCGCACTGCAGCATCCTGGCGGCGGAGCGCAGCGGCTCGGCCAGGCTGAGCTCGCCTCCTGCCGCAGTCCCTCGGCCGCTAGTCGGAGCGAGCACCCGGGAGGAGACCCCCGCCGGGCCACCGACACTCGCTGCTCCTGCGGCTCCCTCCCACGATCGCAGCCCAGCCGCTCGGAAAGGCAGCCCGCAGTCTGGGCTGCGCAACGTGGGAGGGCTTCCCGATCTCCGGGGACAGATTCCGAACTTGCAGGGGACCGCGGCAGACCCGGCCTGGAGAGTGTGAACAGGTGAGTGTCACACACGTGTCCAGGTGGCTCCTTCGGGAAGACTTTCTGCAGACTTACCCAAGCCCTTGAGCGCTTGGCCTCTGAGCCAGTCCTCTTGCTCACTGGGTCCTCCTCCTAGGACGGCTTTGGGGTTCTCTGGAGAGAGATGTAAACGCCAGCACCCGGGGTTGACAGCGCTCTCTCAGCGGAGACCAGAACGCCCTCTTGACTTAGGCTGCATTTACTCCCTAGGATTGAAAGCAAGTGACCTACTGTCCGCAATGGGCTTGTTTATCGTTGCAAGGTACCTGTTGATTTCGGAGCAAGGCTGCAGGCAAGGGGCTTTGTACAGTTACCCTTGGCACACTGGGTGCTGCGTTATGGTAAGATGAAGGAATTCCTGGTAATGAGACTAGAAAAACTTGACTTCAGAGCCACAGAAGGGGCTGCCAAAAGAAAACGGACTCTCATTCCCACGACCAGACTAGGGTCTTTGCTTCCCTTAAGCAGATGCTCTTTATTTTGATGAGACCATAAAAACAGAAGTTAGAAACACAATTACCTTTTAAAGATGCTTGCTTACCCCTCCCCCACCAGGAGGAAGTAGAAAGCATGAACCTTGGTAAAGATAATCTTGAGAATGATATATTAGGAATTAAACCTTTCTTTAAATAAGTAAACGAATAAGGTTATTAGTGATCCAAATGTCGTAGGTCTCCAGAATGTAAGCTCCTCAAAGGGAACTACTTTTTTTCTCTAGGCTTAGCACAAGTGCGGAATGAATCAATAAATGCTTTTCATAATAATACCTCCTTATTTGGAGACCAACTTTTTTCTTTTTTTCCTTCTTCTTAACGTTTCCTTTAATTATTTTTATGTTTCAGAAAAAAAACCACTATACCTTTATCTAAATATGTAGGTGTGACTTTACTTTTCAGAGTGATAGGAAGAGAGAAGTTCCTGCTTCTGCGGAAATAGCTAAGTTTTTGTCGTAATTGAGCATTGTCCACATAAAAAGTGAATGGCAACTTTTAGACCTAGTCAGAATACTTCAGCACAAATTAGAACAAATGCGTTTTCTTAGATCCGTGCTATGGAAGATCTTGGATTATGAATTTTATGGAACTTCAGAAACTTGGCAACAGCTTACTTATTACAACGATTTATACATTTATCTTTGTTCTGTATCTTGTTAAGTGTAACTTCTTGCATTTTCATGTGAGAAATAAATGTTGAAGAACTTGTGTCAGTTTCATGCCTTCCTTTAAGTGATTTTTCTAAACATATCAGAAGGTTGACAGTAACCAGCTGTATCTTTATTAGGTTATAAAGGGGAAAAAAATAACCCATAAATTTCTTTTTCTTTTGTGAAACTCCTGTGTCTCGGAGGCCTTTGGGGGGTTACTGAACTATTTGGCTAGTTTAAAAAAAAATGTGATGGCTACTTTCATGAAACGTTAATCGGACAGATAATTACTTGAATTTTACAAACATGGGTATGAACAGTTTTGCAAGAAATAGCAAATTATTGTTTATACTAGATCTAGACACTTGCATGTTCTGTGTTTTAAACAAAATGCTTGCTAACATCTATTTTCATTTAGAACACATGTAGTTGATGCATCTCAATATATTATGTTTCTGTGATGAAACACTGAACCTTAACATGGGGGCCTTTTCTTAAGAATACATATAAAATGACAAGTAAAGAAATTCTTTTATCTTTAGCCAGAATCCTGGGACTGGACAGACTGCAGATGTTTCAGCTTCTGGTTTTTGTTCTATTAATGATTACTAAGTTTCTTCATTTGAGGGATGAAGTAAACAGCAGCTAATGTTAATGCTGACCTTTTCTTCAGAGAAAGCTCTGCCACAATGAAAATCAGCAAATACAAAATTTGTTAGGTTTAGCGCCATGGCTTAAATATATAATGAAAAAACAATTACATGGTAATGTCTTTGTAGAAACACTTTTCAGAAGATTTTTCACTTTTTCCTTCCTCTTGAGAAGTTGTTTCTAAAAATCTGTAGATGACAAAAGTCTGGCAGAAGCAGTTAACACATTTAGATAACAGACTTATGTTTCGAACATATCCTTATAAACTGGAAAGGTGGATGAATTATGAAGACTGATGTGATTGGGTTTAAAAACTGAAGTCTTATACAGTAGAACCTCCATAGATGACCATCTCCCTACAATGCCACCTCTTTAAGTTGACCTAATTTTTATAAACTGGACATGCACCAACAGGTTCCTTATGTTGGCCACCTCTGTATGTTGACCAGTTTGTTACTGTCCCTTATAGAGATTCTACTGTATTTAGGTTGAAGCTATTGATTGAAGAAGTTCAGAATGGGGGAGTCTTTAGTCCATGTAGAAGATGGGAGCCTTAATGTGTGAGTGGTGGTGCTATAGCACAACCACAGAGTGCAGATAGGGGATATTGAAAATCTCAGAGAACTTACGCTGCATCATTTTGTTAGGTCATATCTCAAAGTAGAATGCAGTGGTTACTGAGTCTTTTGAGTGATTGAAGTATCCAGGAGACTTTTCAATGCATATGGTGAAAAGGGAAGATAAGGGTCAAAAAA